GTTGCCTGCAGATGTCGAGAGCCATCCCCTGCTCGGCGAGTCTATGAACCTTCTCCTCCAGGAAAGGAGAAGGCGCAAGACCGGTGGCTGGGGCGACAAGCAAAATTCTTTACGCTTGGCACGCCCCCACCAGCCCATTCCAAAAGAGCCGCCGGACGAGATACCTTGATGAGGGATTGTGGAAGCCATCTTGGGCGGCTTGGAAGCATATTCAGCCGTCTTTGGGCCCTTTAATGGCCGTTTTGAGAGCCGTCATGGGGCAATACATTGGAACCTATTTGATGCTCTTGAGGCCATCTGGGAGGCCTCTTGTGAGGCCAGGAGGGCCTCTTGAGGCCGTCTTGAAGGCCATCGATCAAATGATGGGAATGGCGTCAGACAGGGGGCAGGGGCGATAAACGTGAAATTGACGGGGGCATATTGACGCGCGCCGAGGAGGCCAGGTTGAGGGGGCGAGGTTTCTTAGAAGGCAGGGTGGAGGGTTTCTGGGAGTCTCTCGGAGGCTTTAATCTAAGCACCCTGCCTTCTGAAACCTTCCCATCTCCGCCCAGCCCTCGGCGCACGTGAATCGCATCCTTGACTTGGTTGTACTGCACGACAAGGGGCCGCATTGCCATCTGCACGATCTTTGCTAGCACGCCCGAGCATGCCATGCCGACAGAGAAAAAGTCAAATGAGGGCAGGAGTTTATTCCATTTGTTGACGCTCGCCCTCTGAGGGCGCCTCGCTAGAAGCACTGAGCGGATAAGACGAGTAGCCTGATTCGAAGGGATGCCGCTGTGGCTGGCCCCCCCCCCCGTTGTTTCCTCCTGTTCCTTTCTCCTCGTCTCCCTCCTCCGCCTCCCCCTCATCATCATCCTCGTCCTTCTCATCCCCCTGCTGCTCCTCCCCTTGCCCATCCTCCCCCCCTGTCTCCTCCCTCCGGAGCTATCGTATCCCGGATATCCCTGAGGGGTTCTGGGGATTCCCAGGGAACGGACCCCCAATGCCCCCATCGGAGGCCTTGGCCACAGCCGCCGCCCTTCGCGCATCTGGCGTCCTGCCCCTGCAGCATTTGCCGTCGCGTCGGCAATGGTGGGTCAACTCCTAGGGCGGCGGGGCTGGGCAGGGGGAAGCATCGGGGAGGGCGGACGAGGAACGCCGTGGTAGGTAAGAGGCTGAGGAGGAGGGGGGAGGAGGAGGAGGAGGAGGAGGAGGAGGAGGAGGAAGGGACAGAGGGGAGGAGGGATGGAAAGAGTGGGAGATGGAGCGATTGTTTGCGACCCCATCGGCTCCGGGTTCCACCAGCAACCGTTGAAAAACAAGAGGAATTCCTGCGCTTGGGTGATCAAGCGCTCGTCGGACTTGCTGAGTTCTCCGTCCTCGCCCTCGTCTGTGTACTGACGGGCGGTCCGACGGTTCCGAATCACAAACTCTAACATCTCCCACCCGTATTGATCTGCTCCACCACGCGGCCGGGGATCATAAGAAATTACAAGGTGTTGCTCCACAGCCTGGCTGACAGTCTTCACGATCCTATTCCAATGCCCATTCGATGACAAAAATATGGAAGCAGCATATAAATTGTTAACCATCTTCGAACTTAAAGAGTTGACCATTCCAATCGATATCAAATGATGCGAATGGTTGGCACAGAGGTGGATGTCCCGAAAGCAACCTGGACCAGGAAGTATCGTCGGAATCTGGCTAACTGTATGGAAGAACTTGTCATTGCCAGACGCGCCATCGCACTCTGCCCACTCACTTTTGAGCTGTGCTTTGTTCAGAATGGTCCGGAGAAGAGGCCAAATCTCTTTAGTCAGAGCGTGGCAATATATTCCCGCGTAAATGTGTTCTGACGAGTTGGAAGCAAGTGGAGTTGGTGGGATCACGAGGTCCAGGCATAGCGTTGGCAACTCTTCATTCCAGCTCACAACAAGCCGAACGCAAGACACCATCACTTCTACATCGTCACGAACCCCGTCCAAGACGACGAACACTTTTGTCTCATCCCATTTTCTGCTCACACATGCGCACAAGGGTTGGCGGTATTCCGCGACGGCTGCAATTTTCCGCAACCATAGCAATTGCAATTGCAAGTCCACTTGCCCGGGCGCCCCGCGGCCAAAGGCTGTGAGGGTGCAAACGTACAGCCGAATCTAGGCCAGAAGAACATCCCTCAAGAACACGAGATCGTCCGCCGGCCAAAACACACACAACACCCAAGGGTACCCTCCCCAGGATGCGCAAGAACATCCAACAAACACGAAGAACATGAGGGTCCCCTCCACGAACCGACCTCGATCTTATACCTCGGTCCGACTGTAGGTTCTTGCGTGGAGGCGGAGGAAGAGGAGGAGGAGGAGAAGGAGAAGGAGGAGGGACGAACTGAACAAGATTGGAGAGGGAAAACACGTTCGTGGGGGATGGATCACGAGGAGCAGGGGAGGGAGGGCGACGAGAGGGATGACGAGGAGGAGAAGGAAGGGAATGTTTCGGATGCATGGCTGGCGGCACGGCCCGCAGCCTGATAAAAGCATGAACTTACGAGCAAGGAATTGCGAGCAACAGCTTTCTTCCCAACTTGGTATGATTTGGCCAACGTCATGTGTCTGGTCTCGACGTCGAATGCCATATCGAGCCGGCATTTGGGCCCAATGGCGAGGGATTGCCCCTTGCCCTTCGAGGGTGGTAGCTTCAGTCGTCGGGTGCATCCTTCTCCTTTTCTTTTCTTCTCCTCCTCCTCCTCCTCCCCCTCCTCTTCCTCGTCCGCCTCCCTTGGTCCTCTTCTCATTCCTCCTCTCCCTTCTTCTCATCCTGCTCCTCCCCCTCCTCCTGCTCCTCCCCCCGTCCACTCCCTCGTCGTCCTCCTCCTCGTTCTCCGCCTCCGTTTCCTTCACGACGACTGGCTACCACGCCCTGACCTTGGCGCCAGCTCTTCGAACGGACACCACGAGGTCCGCAGGCGCATCAGCTGAACCACCGCGTCGACGGACGCGAAGCTCAACACCACTGCGCAGGGACCCGCGAACCTCTGCGGCCGCTGCTGGGACAAGGAGGCAAAGGGGGGGGAACGAGGAGGAGCTGGAAGAGGAGGAGGAGGAGGAGGAAGAGGAGGCATGAGTGATCACGAGAAAACAACCTTCACCAGGTCGACGTACCGTTTGAGGCTGGCCGCGTGCTTCCCCCGCAAGTTATTGACCAATCCGTTCAACCTGTTGATCTTGGTTTGCGACCGCTTGTGTTGCAAACGTCTCCGAACTGCACGAGCGGTTGCAGTCCGTGGCTGGGGCCGCGACGGTGGTGGCTGCTGTTGCGGCCTGGGCTGCTGAGGTGGTGCGGCTGGGGCCGCGGCCGCTGGGGCTGGGGCGCCCTCCTCTTCCGAGAGGCCGCCAAAGAAATCGTCCAAAATGGACGACATCTGAGCCGACAAAGCTGGCTCGCGGAGGGAGGGGGTCGGATGAGAAACATAACAGAGCGAGGCATGCGAGGATGGGGCGAGGGGGGAGGATAAAACAGGGAGAGCGAAAGGAGAGTTGATGAGACCAAGTGATTGCGAGGGTAGCCCAGGTGTGTCAGAACGCGTCACAACCTTGCGGAGCTATTTCAGCGAACGCTATCGGTCCTCAGGGGGAGAGAGGTATTGCTTCAAGGCGGCCATCCACCCCTGCTCTGCATGGCATGTTTTCGAGAGGGCGATTGACCCTCCGACGGTGTTTGCCCGCCCCCTCCTCTTTTTCCTCCTCCTCCTCCTCCTCCTGCTGTTCCATCTCATCCTCCTCCTCCACGCCCTCCACCCCTCCTTCCGACGGCGCGCGCCCGACCCCTCCCGGAGCCGTTCGGAGACGAGAGGTGCGTCCTAAAACCAACGCGGCCTCAGACAGCAAGGAGATAGAAAAGGACGAGCGATTCGCACGTACTTTATCATACTCGTGTTCTTCATCCACCTCCCTTTCCTCACCCGCCTCCCTTCCTCCCCCCCCTCCGATTAAATGAATCGGTCGCGGGGATCCGACAGCCATGGGGCTGTCAAAGATTGTCCGGGGGGGCCGGGGGAGATGCCAGGGAGGTGCGAGCTGTCAAAGATTGTCGGGGGGGGGGGCGGGTGGATAGGGGTGTGGAGGGGGCGGGGGGCTTCGGGGGTGATTTGGGGGGGGGCAAACTTGTCAGGAGGAGGCGGGGGCGGTCGTGAAGGACGGGGGGGACTGTCAAAAGACTGTCGGGGGATCAGGGAGAGGTGGGATGTCCGGTGAGGGGAGCGGGGAGGGCTGGAGGGTGGATGGGGGGGCGGGGAGAGGCGGTGGGGAGGGGGGGGCTTGGGGGAAGGGTCTGGGGGTGGGGAGGGCTGGCGGGGGTCTGGGGGGGAGGGGGACTGTCAAGACTGTCGGGGGGGGGGGGAGGGGGGGGGGGCCGGGGGGGGTGGGGCTGATGACTGTCGGCGGGGGCGGGGGGGGGGGGGGGGGGGGGGGCTGGCGGGGGTGGGTCTGACTGTCGGGGGGGGGGGGCGGCGGGGGGCGAACGTTTATTTTGAAGATTCCTTATGGGAGGTCGAAGACGTGTTTCGGGCACCCCTCAGCACATGACTACGGACGCCATGCCGTAGCGGCACATCTGGCCGAACTGATTCCAGACATTTGATGTAACAACATTCTGTCCCAAAAAAAACTGTGGTGCATCTGGCTGAGCCAATTCAAAATCTGGCGCCTGTGGCCTGCAAAGCTCACGGAGCTCGTCGTTGTCATCGCCACTGTCATCGCCACAGTCTAGTGGCTTCTGGACTCGAGCCTCGGTGGCAACGGCTTGCTCAACAAATTTACGCGATGGAAACACGCATGCACGCACACCTCCTCCTCCTCCTCCTCCTCCTCCTCCTCCTCCTCCTCCTCCTCCTCCCCCTCCTCCTCCTCCTCCTCCTCCTCCTCCTCCTCCTCCTCCTCCTGCCCCTTCCTGCTCCCTCATCCCCCATCCCCCTCCTCTGCCCTGCCCCCCTTTTCTCACCCTCGGGAAGCAGGGCCGGCAGCCTGGTGGACGAGCCTGTCAGCTGCCGGCTCACGCGCTCCTGGAACGACAAGGACTGCGTCAGCTCCATCGACTGACTGTTCTCGGGGAGCGGGAGGCAGACATGGATGATCAGGCGCGCGGTCACGCGAGGAGGAGAGCGAGGAGCCGAAGGAGAGGGATCTGCACTCAGGAGCGGCCAGGAGGGGGGTGTCCAAGAAGGGGGGGGTGCAAATCATGACCGGCCGCATGTGTGCGGCCCAGCGGGGGGGCCAGGGACGTAATGAAATAAGAAGAGGCGCCATGAAGTCTGGGGAAATACCATGGCCCCCGCCATGAGATCCACCCCCCCCTAGTCATCACCCCCCTCTTTTCCGCCCCCGAGGTCACGCGAGGAGGAGAGCGAGGAGCCGAAGGAGAGGGATCTGCACGGCCGCCGCCGCCGCCGCCGTCGTCGTCGCCGCCGCCGCCGCCGCCGGGCCCGCAGGGCGCACGGCGCTGCGCTCCCGGGCCGCCGCTCGGGGCCCCGGGCTCCGTCCGCTGCCCCCCGCGTCGCGCGCCTGGGGCCCCGCGCCTCGGCCGCAGGGCGAGGGCCCGGCGGGGGCGACGACGACGACGAGGGCGCGACGACGAGGGCGCGACGACGAGGAGGCGGCGAGGAGGCGACGACGACGACGACGACGACGACGACGACGAGGACGACGACGACGAGGCGACGACGACGACGACGACGCGGGCGCCTCGGGCCCGCGGCGACAAAAAACAAGACAACTGGACACGACGCCTGGTGAGGCAGGGCTGCTCGTCGCCGAGGCCCGTCCAGCGCACAGAGGCACGAGGCGCGCTTCCCGCGGCCCGCCGCTCAGGAGGCCCGCTCCCCGGAATCCCCGCGGAGCACCCCGCTGGGCGGCTCCTCGGGCGGAGCCCCGCCGGCGGCGTGCGAGCGGAGACGGCACACCTGTGGCCCTCCCCCCTGCCGACACCGGAACAGGCGAACCCTGCCCCGCCACCCCACGGTTCCTGAGAGGGGGGAGTCGGGGGCGCGCAAACACGGATTAGCGATCCATGGATCTGGCGCGCGGCCGCCAAGTCCATGGATCGGGGGAGGTGCCCTCCCCAAAATGCGGCAGGTGCCGCCTCGTTCGGCAGCGGAAATCCGCAATTTCCCATGGAAACGGGACCCGTCGCGAATCCACGCCCCCTTGATCCATGTTTGCGATCGCCTGAGGGAGGTGGGGTTCGCTTCGTTCGGGACCTCCCGAGCGGCCAACAGTCAAAACGTGTATTGAGGACGGGTGGCAAGTACGCAAGACCCTTGGAGGCCGAAGTTTGGATTCTTGGGGCGGCGGGCGAACAGCGACATCGGCAAGGGACGGGCCGCAGAGGCAAGGACACAAGGGCACCCTGGATGAAGGCGCGCGTCCTTCCTGTCCTTACTAAGCGCGTCGACTGTACGACCCACAACCCGGGCACGGTGGCGGGATGGGCCGAAGGCCACTTGGTAAACTTTTGCAGCTCTGCGCGGATAGGGGGCCACATGTGAACCCTACCCCTGCCCCCCACGATTTCCGAGGGGGAGGCTGGGGTTCTCTGCGCTCGGGAGCTCCCGAGCGAAGTGAACCCCACCCTCCCCTCGGAAATCGTTGGGGGGTACTCCGGATTCCATAATAAAGTGGGGGGGGTCACATTTGGGGGGGGGTCTGATTTGAGCTGTCTCGGAGGGTTCGGGGGGGTCTGGGCGAAGGGCCGCCTTTTCATGGATGGTCTGGAGGGGTCTAAAACTCTTCGTCTGGGAGGGTTGTGACCCCCTCCCTTTAATTCAGAAATCTGGAGTAGGGGCAGGGCTCGCATGTGGCCCCCTGGCGGACTTCTCGCATCGGCGCCTGGGGCCCCCCTGGCGGCGCCTCCGGCGCCGCCCCTGGCCCGCGCCGCGCGCCGGGGAGGAGGGGGGTCCGCTCCGCTCCGCCCGCTCCGCATGCGTCACCCACACCCATGTCGGCACACCCCTCACACGTTTCGTGGCCCCATAGGGAGCTCCACCGAAGGCCACAGAGCCACCGCCCTCAGGCGTCACCCACGCTCACTTCGGCACACCCCTCACACGTTCCGTGGCCCCATAGGGAGCTCCACCGAAGGCCACAGAGCCACCGCCAGCATGCGTCACCACGCCCACTCCAGCACACCTCTCACGCGCTTCGTGGCCCCATAGGGAGTAGCATGCGCCCTCCCCACCCATTTCGACACACCCCTCACACGTTTCGCGGCCCCGCAGGGAGCTCCACCGACAGCCCCAATGGCTGCGTTCGCTTGCGCCCACCGCACCTATTTCTGCACACCTCTCACGCGTTTCGTGGCCCCAAAAGGAATTCCACCGACGGCCCCACTGGCTGCTTTCGCTTGCGCCCACCAGACAAATTTCGGCACACCCCTCACACGTTTCGTGGCCCTATAGGGAGCTCCTCCGAATGCGGTGCATACAACGACGGAACTCACAACTGCACATGGTTGGTTCCTTCGCCAGGCTCATTGTTATCATTCTCGAATCTTCCTGTACAGGGGTATGCCCAACTTAAACATAAACTGTCAGAGCTCCGAAAGACGGGGAGACGGAAGGCTCCCGTTCGGAGGACTCGGGCTGGCCTGACGGGGCCATCGTGAAAACGACGAGACAGCATGAAATTTGACGCGAGCTCCCGCTGCAGACATCCAACGAAAACTGGACCGTCAAAATCCAGGACGCGCTGACGCGCTCGTCAAAAAGCGTCGGGCAGGCCCGAGTTCCAGCGTACTCGAGTCTCACGCTTCTTCGAGAAAGCCCATGCCTGTCACTGTTTGCTCCCCGACCCTAATTATCCCCCATCCATCCGGTTGATGGACACACTCCTGCACTGAAGGGGCCCTGGGACACACAAATAAATACACACAAATAAAAAGATTACCTATAGTTTCCCATATGTTCTGGGTTTCTATCTTCGCCCCCGCTCCCCATATTTTTCCATATTTTCTGTGGAATCCACGATTAATTGCGTCTGTGTTTTGTCCCCTCCTGCACATGCTGTGTTGCTGCTCGTGAACGGCCCCCGCGCCCCCAGCTTGACATCGGCGGGCGGCGCCACGCTGTGCCGACTTGTCGACTGGCCGAAACCCTGCACCCCGCTGGCGATGCCAACCAACATTGATGAAGAGGCCTTGGGACACACAAATAAATACACACACATAAAAATATTCCCCATATTTTCCTATATTTTCTGGGTTTTTGTCTACCACCCCACTTCCCATATGTTCCCATATTTTCTGGGGAATCGACGATTGATTGTGTCTGTGTGTTTTTTCCCCTCCTGAACATTATGCGCTGCTGCTCGTGAACACCCCCCGCGCCCCCAGTCTGACATGGCGGGCGGCGCCACGAGGTGTCGACTTGTCGACTGGCCGAGACCTTGCACCCAGCTGGCGATGCCAACCAACATCGAATCGGTTACCAGCCTGGAACAGATCCCTTTCCCTATGTTCGGCATCGCCTCATCACGATGGCGATCTTAGGGACTCCCTCAGCTTCTGAGGGTGCATCCCTAAGATTGTCATCGCCTTTTGGCGTGTCAATCTCAGGGATAGGGATAAGTTCGAGGCTGGTGAATCGGGGGCAGGGGGGCGCGCTGAAGTCTGCGCTGGCGCCTCGCTCGCGCAGGCGGTGCGGGATTCGGTCCATCGACCGTCCCGCACCCCGCGAGCTTTTGCCGCGGCTCTCCCGGGGCCCAGAGAACGCCACCCTCGCACCCCGCCAGGACCCCCTGGCTACCTACCAGACCACCTCAACCCAACCCGAAGACCCGAATATCGGGTTGGGGGAGGTACGGGTTCCATATGTGTTTTCTCGATGTTCCCCGACCCCCCCCCCCACTGAAAATGGAGGTCAATTTGAGGCCTTCGGGTTGGGTTGGGGTGGTTTGGTGGGTGGTGACCCCCCGAACCCCCAAGGTCAGCCGTGGGTCCTGGCTGGGGGGCGGGACGGCTTCGCCCTGCCCTCGCACAGCCCAGAGCACACAGAGTGTACTGGCCGGTGGGCCCAGCGCGCCACGGCCGAAAGCACGGCGCTGCGCGCCTGACGGGGTGGAAGGAGGAGGCTTCACCAGAGAAAAAAAAAACCAATCAGGGGATGGTTTGATGAGATCGATGGTGAGATCGATGGAGTGAGATGAATAATGAGATCTGTCATGAGATCGATGATGAATCGTGGGATCGGTACCGAGATCGATGAAGAGATCGACCGGGAAACCGGAAATCTGGGAAGCCGGAACCCACCGAAACCGACCCGGAACCAATAACTAAGAACCCGGGAACCCGGAACCAGGAACCCGGGAACCCAGCCGGCTACCAAAATCGGCGGGAAACGTTCGCCAACTCTTTCAGTATCCGCCAGGACCCCTTCAGTGTGCAAGCACCGACTGGGGAATGGTGAGGACACGACCGCCGCCGCACGCGGCCGCCGCGCACGACCTTCGCCACGGCCCACATGCTGCCCCGTGCGGTGCCAGGGCTGCCCCGCTCGCCTCCCTCCCTTCCCCTGCGCCTACGCCCGAACTGTTCACTGTGCTGTACTTTACCCTCGGTGCCCGTGCAGAGTTTTCGAGCCTCGACTCTCAGTGTAGACACACGTGCTGCCTGTGCTGACTGCCTCTGCTGGCCGCAGCGCCACTCTTACGCGACAGCCGCCAGGCTCAACGCGCGTGCAATCCAAAAAATCCCTCCTCCTCCTCCATTCCTCCTCCTCCTCCTCCTCTCCTCCTCCTCCTCCTCCCTACTCCTCCTCCTTCCTCCTCCTCCTCCTCCTCCTCCTCCTCCTCCTCCTCCTCTCCTCCTCCTCCTCCTCCTCCTCCCTCCTCCTCCTCCTCCTCTCCTCCTCCTCCTCCTCCCTCCTCCATCCTCCTCCTCTCTCCTCCTCCTCCTCTCCTCCTCCTCCTCCTCCTCCTCCTCCCTCCTCCTCTCCTCCTCCTCCTCCTCCTCCTCTCCTCCTCTCCTCCTCCTCCTCCTCCTCCTCCTCCTCCTCCTCCTCCTCCTCCTCCTCCTCCTCCTCCTCCCTACGTCTCCCACGCCACCCGACCTCGCGCACCGCGCGCCCCGCGGTGCGCCACGCGCGGTCGGTCGCGCCCTCGCACCACCACCCTGGGGAGAGAAGGCCCGCTCGGCGGCCCCGGCCGCGACGCGCGAAGCGCACGCATCCTCGCGCACCCGGCTCCTCCTCCTCCTTCTCCTCCTCCTCCTCCTCCACCTCCTCCTCCTCCTCCTCCTCGTCTCCTCTTCCTCCTCCTCCTCCCTCCTCCTCAACGTCCTCCTCCTCCTCCTCCTTCTCCTCCGCCTCCTCCTCCTCCTTTCTCCTCCTCCTCCTCCACCTCCTCCTCCTCCTCCTCCTCCACCGGCGACCTGGATCTCCCGCTCGGCCCCGCGGCGCCCACGAGCGACAGCCACCCCCAAACCCCTGGACCCAAGAGGAGGTCGAGGGGCGCTGGCGGCGGCGGGGGTCCACGGAGAGTCTCACCTCCAACGACGGCTCCTCCACGTCGTCCAGGTGCAACAGCTTGACACACCTCTTCGAGGACAGAGAGGAGCGGCAGAGGAGCGGGAAGAGCAGGAGACGGACCAGTCGCAACTGGGGTAGCCGTCCCCCCGACCCCACCCCACTGGTGTCCCCCACACCCCCCCAGGGCGGTGAACTCGGCCCCAGTTTGCGGCTGGCCTCGGGCGAGACTTGGATGAGCTCACCAGAAAGCCTCAGCTGAATGGAGTCGAAGCAATACCTCATCATCCAGCGACGGACGAGCCTGCGGAGTCCACACGGCTACGTACATCGTGATCCTGCCGACGGCAGCCTAGCATCGGGAACTATTGCCGATATGCCGAAAAGCACGGATGTCACGATGTCAGATGGAATTCGGCAAAGGTTGGGCCACGATTCCGCGACGATGCTCCCAGGCCAACATCGTATCACCAAGGCGGGCCACGGATGGGCGGTGGAAGGAAAGCAACTGGATGTCCAAGCCTCAACCTTGCGAACGCCACGGACACAGCACCCTGGCAACTCAGACCTATCGCGCGCAAGGCGCTGTTCGCCATCTCTGGCATCTAAACGGCGTTTCTGGGCCCGAAGACCGACAAAACCGACCCAGGGTGAAAACAATCCCGAGGACAGGGTCGAGAGGTCTGAGGCACAATGGCTAGAGAGACTCGTGTCGTCGGAGGTCTGGGTCCAGCACGTCAGACTGACACCACTTCCTGCGACGACCCTCAGTCGAACTCAACGATTCGACGCAATGCCCGAGATCATTTGCAGCCTTGAACGCAGCCCTCTTCCAAGCCATACAATACTGGTGCATCATCCAACTCGTCCAAGCGGGACGCAGCTGGTGAAAAGCAGTCCTATCATTGCCAACCCGCGTATAAGCCGCAACGGCTGGAGCAGGGCGAAACACGGCTGCCCATCCTACATGATCATATGGTTGGAAATTCTGAATGCAGCGCGCGCAGCGAATGGCGCATGAGGCTGAAGCCGATCGATCTGCGTAGCAACATTCTCGGACGCATGCGATCTGAAGCGCATGCGCTTCAAAATCAGCGAAGGAGCGCGCTCCACCGTCAGACACCAACAACATCCACGAGACAGTGAAACACTTGTCAAGGAAAGGCAGAAACCAGGGACCCCCCCCGACACCCCCCCCCAAATCCCCCCCCCAGAAGAACCCAGGAGGTCCGGAATCCCCCCCCCCGCCTAGAAAATCATTCGGGGGGGTCCACCAAACCCCTTCCCTCCCCCCCAGACAAATTCTTCGGGGACAAGACCCCCTTCCCCCCTCCCCCGGCAACGACGACGACGACGACGACGACGACGACGACGACGCCGACGCCGACGCCGACGCCGACGCCGACGACGACGCCGACGACGACGACGACGACGACGACGACGACGACGACGACGACGACAGCGGCGGCGGCGGAGCACCTGTCGCCAGCGCCCGCGCCAGGCGCTGGCTCTGATAGGATGCTGCGCTGGGACTCGACGCAACTCTCTCGGCATGCTGCTGGGGCCCAAAAGTGCACTCGCACCGAATATATTCGGCTCTACTCCATTCTACTCTACGTTCCGCTACTCTACTCCGGTCTGCCCTGTTCTACTCTACGTTCCGCTGCTCTACTCTGCTCTGCCCTAATATGCTCGGCCCTACTCTATTCTTAGGGGAACAAAAAAGTGGCATAACCATAAAAACTCGGAGGTCCGCGCGGATTTCTTGGATCCGCGCTGGACCCCCCTCCCTGGCGCGCGGAGCGCGCCAGGGGCGGCGCCGGAGGCGCCGCCGGGGGGCCCCAGCGCCGATCCGAGAAATCCGCGCGGACCTCCGAGTTGTTATGTTTATGCCACTTGATGTTCCCCTAATTCTACTCCTCCGGTCTGCCCTATTCTGCTCTGCCCTATATCATGTTCGACCCTACCGCACCTCAACATAATCTAGTCTGCGCTACTCCAGTTTGCTCTTAATCAACTCTGTTCTACTATACTCCTTCTCTCTCTCTCTGATGTACAACTCCCTGCTCTACTCTACTTGATTATACCATAATATTCTCTACTCGGCCGCATCCCACCCGATTGTAAACTCGACTCTACTCGACCCTCTACCCTACTCCTGTTATACTTTCGCAACACAAACTCTACTCTGCTCGTCGTCGTCGTTTTCGTCGTCGTCGTGCGTCGTGGGTCGTGCGTCGTCGTCGTCAGCTTCTGACGTTATGCCCGGGGGACAACCATCTTAGCACAATGGTCGGACACATAATTGCCTAGCCTATCGTCACAACTACAACTACTGCCAACGTCATTTCACGCAAACATCCACAGCGCGAAGGTCACTTCCATGTGTACACCTGCTCAAGAGAAAAGATCGGAATTCCATTGCATATTGCTTACAGACACACATTTTTCCGCACCTACACGGAGGAATCCGATCAGGCGCTGCTGCTCCAGCTGGACGCGAGAGCAAACGACACCACCACACCTGCGGCCCCACGAGGCTCAGCGCGTGCCAGGAAATCTGGCGTGCGTGTGTTGCATGGCATGCTCTGCGGCCCCCGAGGGGCCGTAGCGCAACATGGAGGGCCGCAGGTGGGGTGGTGTCGTTTGCTTCTGGACGACCGGCCCCATCTTGGGAGCCAGCCACACCCTGCGAGGCCTTCGAGATCACAGACGGCCTGTCAACACGAAACTGTTTCCGAGACGGACGAACCTGAAGGGGCCCTGGGACACACAAATAGATACACACAAGTAAAAAGATTCCCTATGTTTTCCTACATTTTCTGGGTTTTTGTCTTCCCCCCCACTTCCCACATGTTCTTATATTTTCTAAGGAATCGCCGATTAATTGTGTCTGCGTGTTTTTGCCCCTCCTGAGAGTCGCGCGCAAGATCCCAGCCGACCGCCAGTCACGACCCGAGGAGCGCATCCGCCTACGATCCGACGCGAGAGCACTCCTGACCCCAGAGAACTCCCATCTGGACCACGGCTCCGCGCAGAAGGTCACCAAAGCAACCGAGCCAGCGGGCAATCCCTGGAAGAAGAAGAAGAAACTGCAAAAACATTAGCCTGGCGAAGGACCCAGCCATATGCAGTTGTGAATGCCGCAATTGTGCTGGGTGGTGGCGGACGCATGCGGGCGGTGCCACTGGGACCTTCGGTGGAGCGCCCTATGGGGCCACGAAACGCTGTACTGGGTGGGCGAGACGCGGTCAGCAAGGGCTGTGCTGCGTGGTGGCGGACGCATGCGAGCGGTGCCACTGGGACCTTCGGTGGAGCTCCCTATGGGGCCACGAAACGCTGTACTGGGTGGGTGAAACGCAGGCAGGGAGCAAGGGCTGCGCAGGGTGGTGGCGGACGCATGCGGGCGGTGCCGCTGGGACCTTTGGTGGAGCTCCCTATAGGGCTACGAAGCGCTGTTCTGGGTGGGTGAAGCGCAGGGAACAAGGGCTGTGCTGGGTGGTGGCGGACGCAAGCGGGCAGTGCCACTGGGACCTTTGGTGGAGCCCCCTATGGGGCCACGAAACGTGCGAGGGGTGTGCCAGAATGGGGTGTGGAACCGCATGCCAGCGCAGCCACTGGGGCCTTCGGTGGAGCTCCCTCTGGAGCCACGAAACGTGTGAGGGGTGTGCCGAAATGGGGGGTGCTGCGAGCGCAGCCACTGCGGCGTTCGGCGGAGCTCCCTATGGGGCCACGAGACGTGTGAAGGGCGCGCCGAAAAAAGGGAGTGGAACCGCATACGAGCGCAGCCACTGGGGCCTTCGGTGGAGCTCTCTATGGGGCCACGAACCGTGTGAGGGGTGTGCCGAAATGGGGGGGGAACCACATGCGAGCGCAGCCACTGGGGCGTTCGGTGGAGCTCCCCATGGAGCCACCCACGAAGCGTGTGAGGGGTGTGCCGAAATGGGGGGTGGAACCGCATGCGGCGCAGCCACTGGAGCTTCGGTGGAGCTCCCTATGGGGCCACGAAACGTGTGAGGGGTGTGCCAGAATGGGGGTGGGGCATGCGGGCGCAGCCACTGGGGCCTTCGGTGGAGCTCCCTATGGGGCCACGAAACGTGTGAGGGGTGTGCCAGAATGGGGGGTGGAACCGCATGCGGGCGCAGCCACTGGGGCCTTCGGTGGAGCTCCCTATGGGGCCACGAAACGTGTGAGGGGTGTGCCAGAATGGGGGTGGAACCGCATGCGGGCGCAGCCACTGGGGCCTTCGGTGGAGCTCCCTATGGGGCCACGAAACGTGTGAGGGGTGTGCCAGAATGGGGGGTGGAACCGCATGCGGGCGCAGCCACTGGGGCCTTCGGTGGAGCTCCCTATGGGGCCACGAAGCGTGTGAGGGGTGTGCCAGAATGGGGGGTGGAACCGCATGCGGGCGCAGCCACTGGGGCCTTCGGTGGAGCTCCCTATGGGGCCACGAAACGTGTGAGGGGTGTGCCAGAATGGGGGGTGGAACCGCATGCGGGCGCAGCCACTGGGGCCTTCGGTGGAGCTCCCTATGGGGCCACGAAACGTGTGAGGGGTGTGCCAGAATGGGGGGTGGAACCGCATGCGGGCGCAGCCACTGGGGCCTTCGGTGGAGCTCCCTATGGGGCCACGAAACGTGTGAGGGGTGTGCCAGAATGGGGGGTGGAACCGCATGCGGGCGCAGCCACTGGGGCCTTCGGTGGAGCTCCCTATGGGGCCACGAAACGTGTGATGGGGTGTGCCAGAATGGGGGGTGGAACCGCATGCGGGCGCAGCCACTGGGGCCTTCGGTGGAGCTCCCTATGGGGCCACGAAACGTGTGAGGGGTGTGCCAGAATGGGGGGTGGAACCGCATGCGGGCGCAGCCACTGGGGCCTTCGGTGGAGCTCCCTATGGGGCCACGAAACGTGTGAGGGGTGTGCCAGAACGGGGGGTGGAACCGCATGCGGGCGCAGCCACTGGGGCCTTCGGTGGAGCTCCCTATGGGGCCACGAAACGTGTGAGGGGTGTGCCAGAATGGGTGTGGGAGGGGGAGGAGGGGGGAGGAAGGGGAGGAGGAGGAAGGAGGAGGAGGAACGCGGGGCAACGTCTCTTCAAAACGAGGACCCAACACCACAGAATGGTTGGGAATGAACTGCTGGCGCGGCGCGGGGTTTTCTTCGATCCGCGCTGGATCCCCCATCCCCGGCGCGCGGAGCGGCGACGGAGGCGCCGCCGGGGGGGAGGCCCAGCGCGGATGCAAGAAACCCGCGCGCGGCGCGCCAAAAGTGGATGTCTATGACGTCTTTTCTTCTTCGAACAACCCTGCGGGTCAAAAACAGCAGCCTCCAAAACCGATTGGCTCTGGGCGGGGCAGGAGGCCCGCTCAGGCCACGAGGCCGGGGGCATCGGGAGCGGCCAAGAGGGGGGTGTCCAAGATGGGGGGTGCAAATCATGACCGCCGGCATGTGCGCGGCCCAGCGGGGGGGCCAGGGACGTAATGAAACAAGAAGAGGCGCCATGAAATCTGGGGAAAGATCATGGCCCCCGCCATGATATCCACCCCCCCCTAGTCATCACCCCCCTCTTTTCCGCCCCCGAAGAACGTGGCACCTGCGCACCCACGGCGTTCTCTGGCCGAGGGCCCCTCCAGCCCTGCGGCGCCGGCATGTGCCTCGACGGCGCCCCGAGGCCTGGCTCGCGGAAGAGGAGGAGGAGAAGGAGGAATAGGAGGAGGAGGAGGAGGAGGAGGAGGAGGAATAGCAGGAGGAGGAGGAGAACACGAGGCCGGGGGCAGCAGGGGCGCCTCCTCCGCCGGGGCCGCAGCCCGCTGCGGGCCCAGTCCCGAACAGTCCCCGCCCAGCGCGTCCGACCGCTCCCCGCCCATGAGGCGGAGGAGGGAGGGCTCTGGGTCAACAGGTGGAGGTCCACATGCTCAGGCCAGGCGGGGGGGAGGGGGGAGGAGGAGGAGGAGGAGGAGGAGGAGGAGGAGGAGGAGGAGGAGGATGAGGAGGAGGAGGAGGAGGAGGAGGAGGAGGAGGAGGAGGAGGGGGAGGAGGAGGAGGGGGAGGAGGAGGACCAGGAGGAGGAGGAGGAGGAGGAGGAGGAGGAGGAGGGAGGAGGAGGAGGAGGAGGCGGAGGAGGAGGACCAGTGCAAACCAAAGACTCATCAACGATGTTGCAATCAACCCTCCTTTCACGTTCCCCCTTTCACGTCCCCCCTGCGGGAAGAGCCCCTTTGGAAGATAATCGCCTGAAAATCTTCAACTGCGCCAGAACATCATTCCTGGGACTTCAACGCCGCGAATAAACGTGGCAGGTGCGGCATGACGATCCTAAATATTTAAGTCATGCCAAAACACCACTTCTGGGACGCCAGACACCGCGAAACAACTTGACTATCGCGCCCTGGCAATCCTAAATCGCGCCAAAACACCATGCATGGGACGTCAACCAGAGGAATCCTTGAAACCACTGAAAACTGTTCAGACGAATGCACGCGGCGCCGAGGAGAGAACAACGAACAGCATGTTGTAAAGGAGCCGCCCTCCATTAGCAAAACTCCTGCAAACACTTAAAACTGATGTGCGCGGCGCTACGGCGAGAACACAATGCCTAAAATGGCCTACCCTTCATCCGTGAGACTCTTGCAAACTTCGAGCACGGAAGTGCGTGGCGCTGAGACGAGGACAACATGTTGAGAAAACGGCCCTCCCTCCAACCGTGGAACTCTTGCAAGCTTTTAGCACGGAGGTGCGCGGCGCGCGGTGGCGAGAGCTACATTTTGAACACGGCCCGCCCTCCATCCACGAGACTGCTGAAAACTTTCAACACATTTTGTGTGTGTGCTGCGTGGCGCCTAGGGCGAGAGCCACGTGAAAAAAAGGACCCGCCCGCCATCCGTGAAAAAACGCTTGCTCATTTCAAGCTTCAGTGAAGGTGCCCAAGGACACACAAATAAATACACACAAATAAAATAATCCCCCATATTTTCCCATACGTTCTGGGTTTCTGTCTTCCCGCCCACTTCCCATATTTTCCAATATTTTCTCGGAAATCGAAGATTAATTGTGTCTGTGTGTTTCTTTTCCTCCTGATTCAGGATCACCCGTGGTGAGGCAGTCTCAGGCGAAACGCCCGACCTGTCCTACCGACCCGCCTCGGGTTGCGACACGGAGAAGTTACTCATAGGGACGAGGGATGGAGGATAAGGAGGAGGGGATGGGAGGAAGGAGGGGGAAGGAGGAGGAGGACCATGGGGGAGGAGGAGGAGGAGGAGGAGGAGGAGGAGGAGGAGGAGGAGGTGGTGGGGATGGAGGAGGAGGAGGAGGAGGAGGAGGAGGAGGAGACAAGAGCAGGGACTGCCTGCACAGTCACAAGGACAACGATGATACTTGCCCTCAAGCACACTCAGAAAATTACGCGGGGTCAACCGTCGGAGTAATGCTGCTTTGTCTCCCTTGCCTCCCACCCACCTGTCCCCTCGCTTCCCACATCACCACCCCCCTGGCGGACTTTTGCCGGTCCCTCTTGGAGAAGTAGCCGGAGGAGATGAGAGCATTCGCGCTCGGTCGTCTGCCGGCCGCCACGGGGAGAAGGTCCTCATCGTCGTCGTCGTCGGCGGAGGCGGCTGAATTGGCGTCGGCGTCGGCGTTGACGGAGGAGGGGAGGATCCTTCTTAATCATGTAGGCCTTGCACGGGGTCTCGGGGGATTCGAAGAGGCTGTAGCGGGCCCAGGCGGATGAGCAGGGAGGGGAGGGGGGAGGGGGGGGAGAGATGAAGGGCAGGGGGATCACGAGAGGAGAGAGAGGAAAGAGGGAGAAGGGGGAAAGGGAAGGCGAGAGGGAGAGTGCGTGGGGAGATCCACCTTCCTCCTTCCTCCTGATTCCTCCTCTCCTCCTCCTCCTCCACCTCCTCCTCTCCCTCCTCCTCCTCCTCCTCCTCCTCCTCCTCCTCCTCCTCCTTCTCCTCCCCTCCTCCCCTCCCTCCTCCTCCCCTCCTCTCCTCCTCTCCTCCCTCTCCTCCCTCTCCAATATCCTCCTCTCCTCCCCTCCTCCTCTCCTCCTCTCCTCCCTCTCCTCCTCTCCTCCTCTCCTCTCCTCCTCTCCTCCTCTCCTGCTCTCCTCCTCTCCTCCACCTCCTCCTCTCCTCCTCTCCTCCTCTCCTCCTCTCCTCCTCTCTCCTCTCTCTCTCCTCCTCTCTCCTCCTCTCCTCCCTCCTCCTCCGCCTCCTCCTCTCCTCTCTCCTCCTCTCCTCCTCTCCTCCTCCTCCTCTCCTCCTCTCCTCCTCTCCTCCTCTCCTCTCTCTCCTCCTCTCCTCCTCTCCTCCTCTTATCCTCCTCCTCTTCTCCTCCTCCTCTTCTCCTCCTCCTCGTCCTCCTCCTCCTCCTACTCCTCCTCCTCGTCATCGTCCTCCTCCTCGTCCTCCTCCTCCTTCTCCTCCTCTTCTTCTTAGTCTTGTTTTATTGCTCGTAGTAATATTGTTGGTATTGCTGATGTTATTAATGTTAGGTGCAGCACCACTACTAATAGTAATAATAATGTTACTAAAGAAATATTAGTAATGGTAACAATAATAATGATAGAAATAAGAATGCCCAGAATGCTAGTAATGATAATAGTCATGATAAGTTTGTGAATAATGATAAATAATGCCAATAATAATGATCATAATAAACAATAAGGTTACATTGTTAGTAGTAGTACTTGTTGTTGTAGTCGTATTATTACGACTGTTATTATTGGTTGACACCGTCTTCTTCATAATAGTATTCATCACATTATTATTGATTTTATTAGTGTAATATGCTTAGTATGATTAAGCTTCGTCTTGGTCGTCTCCTTCTTAATAGTAGTAGTAGTAGTAGTAGTAGTAGTAGTAGTAGTAGTAGTAGTAATGTTCTTCTGATTCGTGTTAGCATTATTATTTGTATTCATTATTATTCCTCCTCCTCCTCCTCCTCCTCCTCCTCCTCCTCCTCCTCCTCCTCCTCCTCCTCCTCTTCCGTCCTCCTCCCCCGACCGACCGACATCCCCTCCCTGCTCACTCCTGTGCCTGGGGAGGAGGAGCCAGACATGCGCGCGCGCGCGAGCGAGCACCCAGTCCCGCGCGCAGGAACGCAAACGCACGCGCGCGCGCGCATGCTCCGGCCGATCGCGCCACGCGAGCGCAGAGGCACGACGCGGCAGCCGGTCGACGCGACCGCGCGCCCAGGCACGCCCGGGGAGGGGACGAGCACGCGCGCCTGCGAGCACGCGCTCGCGCGCCTTATCGTGCTACCAGAAGGAGCGCCAAATCGAGAACAGAGTGGCGCTTCTGACCACGGCGAGGGCCTCGGCCACGAACAGGTTCCCCGCCCTGGATCTGAGGACTGGCCCGAAAACCGTAGTCCTTCTCTCGGGAGCGGCCAAGAGGGGGGTGTCCAAGAGGGGGGGGTGCAAATCATGACCGGCGGCATGTGCGCGGCCCAGCGGGGGGGCCAGCGACGTAATGAAACAAGAAGTGGCGCCACGAAATCTGGGGAAAGATCATGGCCCCCGCCATGATATCCACACCCCCCCTAGTCATCACCCCCCTCTTTTCCGCCCCCGAGCTTTGGTCAATCCAGAGGTTACCCTCGCTTGGCATGCCGCCTAGCAATACTCTGGTGCCCATGCCCAACCCTCCAGGCAGCCTTCGAGGGAGCGACGACGACGACGGCAGCCTTCGAGGGAGCGACCCCCCCCCCCCTAGTCATCACCCCCCTCTTTTCCGCCCCCGATTCTCAGACCCGAAGTGGTCCGTACGACACCGTCTGCACTGCACGGCAGGATCGGCGCGCACCGAGAGTCGCAGAATCCGGGCCGGCTCGGAACGTGCACCGAGTCCGACCGCCTCGGCGTGGAGCCGGGATCGAATCGGACCCGCCGCGCCGGGATGCACAGCAGCGCCATGCGAGCATCGGGCCGCACCAGATCGTCGGCCTCCTCCTCCTCCTCCTCCTCCTCCTCCTCCTCCTCCTCCTCCTCCTCCTCCTCCTCCTCCTCCTCCTCCTCCTCCTCCTCCTCCTCCTCCTCCTCCTCCTGGGGCCGGTCGGAATCGAGATCGGATCGGGACGACCGGATCGACATGGGCCCCAGCATGGCGGCCCTGCCTCTGCCCGTCTCTTCCAGCCCCGCGCGCGCGCGCGCGTCCAGCGGGCCGGCCTCCTCGACAGCACGTCGGCCACGTTGTTGTTCAGCATGACCGTCGGGTCCGAGAAGTCATCCTGGTCCCAGCGGGGCGGTCGGCACGTGAGCCAGAGAGAGGACGACGGCGCGGACAGGTGGGAGGAGCACGACGAGCAGGGGTAGGATCAAGTCGGGCCTGTCCCCCTACAGGGGGATTTTGGACGAAGAATGAAATAAATATTGTTTTTTTGTTTCTTTATATATATATATATAAATAATAAAAAAAAAAAAAAATGACAAAAATCGTCCCCAGACTATTTGTTTTGAAAAGTCCTCCTGTAGAGGGACAGGCCCGATCTAAGGGTAGGAGAAGGAGCTCCTCCCACGCGTTCGTGCCCGCTCGCCTGCCGCTGCCCTTCCCCGGCGCCCGTGGCAAGAGCAGCCGCGGGCCACTCCAGAGACTCCTCGGGCCAGCAGGGAGGGGGGGCGCTTGCGAAGGGGCCCCAGGACACACAAATAAATACACACAAATAAAGATATTCCCCATATTTTCCCATACTGTTTGGGCTTTCGTCTTCCCCCCCACTTCCCATATTTTCCCGCATGTTCTTGGGAATCGACGGTAAATTGTGTCTGTGTGTTCTTTCCTCCTGAGCTAGGAGAGAAGGCGAGGAAGACGGAGGGGGAGAAGGACGAGGCGCACGACAAGGGGGAGGGAGAGGAGGGAGCAGGAGGAAAACAGAACACATCAGCATCAAGTTTCCGAACTCCGCGGGGATTTCTTGGATTGGCGCTGGAACCCCCCCTCCCTGGCGCGCAGAGAGCGCCAGGGGCGGCGCCGGAGGCGCTGCCAGGAGGCCCAGCGCAGATCCAGAGTCAGGTATGCGCGTGTTTGCCTGAGAGAGGACGAGGAGTAGACAGGAGGGAGGACGCGGGAGCGTAAGAACATGAGAAGACCATGTTCCCTCCACTCTCCCCCCCCTTCCTCTGTGTTCTCCTCCTCCTCCTCCTCCTCCTCCTCCTCCTCCTCCTCCTCCTCCTCCTCCTCCTCCTCCTCCTCCTCCTCCTCCGCAGGCGCGGCGCCATCATCTCCGATCCGCCGCTGCGCCGCGTGCGCGCAAGGCTCGACTGACTCACGGGCGCTGCCGTGCGCTCCGCGCCGCCTGGCTGGCCGAGCCAGCCAGGCAGCGTCCCGCGGCAGGCGCCTCGGGCTGCACCCCCGGGGGGCGCCCCCGGGCGCGTGCGCGGCGGCCCCTCCCGGCCACGCGGGCGAGGCCCCGCCGGTGCCGGCGCGGCGACGGCGGGCAGACGACGACGGTGAAGGGGCCCTGGGACACACAAAGAAATACACACACAACTAAAAGGATTCCCCATATTTTCCTATACTTTCTGGTTTTTTGTCTTCCCCCCCACTCCCCATAGTTTCCCAGATTTTCCTGGGAGCTGACGATGAATTGTGTCTGTGTGCTTTTGTTCCCTCCCGAGACGGGCCGTGCCCCGCGGGCAGCAGCGCAGGGGCGCAGCAGGGACCGGGGAGGCGAAGGGTTCGGGCACGGGGTGCTCGGGCTGGCCTGACGTAGGGGGCCACATGCGAACCCTGCCCCCACCCCACACGATTTCTGGGGGGGGGGGGGGTTCACTTCGCTTGGGAGCTCCCGAACGAAGTGAACCCCACCCTCCCCCTCAGAAATCGTGGGGGGCAGGGGTAGGGTTCGCATGTGGCCCCCTATGACGGACCGACTCCGAAGCTTGACGCGAGCTCCCGCGGCAGACGTCCCACGAAGGCTGGGCCGTCAGATCCAGGAAGCGCTCGTCCAGGAGCGTGGCAGGCCCGGGTTCCAGCCAACTCGAGTCTTCGTTTCCCCGACAGTAAGCGCAGAGGCGAAGCAGAGAGAAAGCCTGGAATGGGCCCGGTTCCGCCCCGCCAGAACAGCGAGAGGCACCAAGGAGCGGGGGCGACTCGCAGGCAACTCACCCACCTCCGCGGGCACTCGATGCCACGCATAGACGAAGGACGTGCAGGCGCGGCCAGACTCGGAATACCACGTGGGAGCTGTTCCGGAACAGAAGCATGCCGTAGACGCATCTGCCCGTTCCCCGACCTTGCACTGCGCCGAAGGCAGCGGCCGCGCTGCCCACAGACGGATCCGCCCCGAATGTGTTAGGCATTGGCCTGGGATACACGTCTTCTAGAGTATGGGTGCGGAAAAATGGGCACAATGCCCAAAAACAGATGTTGCTCCAAACCAACAGCGGCCGCTGTTGGGCGGGCGGCCTTCTGTCTCAAATGGACGCAGGCCGCGGCGGCGCGGACAGCGAGTCCTGTTCAAAATGAACAGGGACTGCTGCTGGGCATCGTACCCATTCTTTCCGCACCCATTTCGGGCGTCCAGACAGAGGCAGGTGGGCGCTGCCCTCCAAGGCGAGAGACAGCCGATGTCCCAGGCCCCCCCCCCCCGGGGCGGCACGGCCCGGGCCTCGGCGCATCCTGCAGGCCCGAGAGCCCGACGGGCCCGAGGCGCCGAGGGCTGCGCGCAGGGCGCGCCGAGAGGGCCCGGCGGGCGCCTCGGCACGGTGCCGGCCGCACGTGCCGCAGGGCGCCTACAGGGCAGGTCTTGATACACTGGATTTCCCATACATCGGAAATTGAATACATGATGCATGTATGATACATAGGTTTTGATACATAGGTTTTTCCACACATAAGAAATTTGGCACATGATGAATGTATGCATACGTGAAGGCATGAACTCATCCTTGTATGCATTAACCAACCCAGGGTGCCGCAGGGTGCCTACAGGGCAGGTTTTGGTACATAGGATTTTTCATATATATATATATATATATATATGTGCGTGCCCCCCCCCTCTGAGATCTACCTTGAAGCCCTTTTCAAAGCAAAGAAGTACGAGGACACCATCGCTGTCCAAGTTTGCAGTAACAATTTACCTCCGCCAAAAGTTGGCACAGAACGTGGATCCCATCTCGGCCCAAAGGTCTTTGCCCCTGTGCCAGTAAAGCCACTGGGCGCTGCGAATTGCAGTGGCGGCCGTCTCAGAATTGGGCACCATTGTCTGGCCACCCAAGGTTGAGCGGATGTATTTCCAAACGCTGTCGATAACCTGGGAGCCGGCCTTGGTGCGCAACTTCCTACCACATGGAAGCTTATGAGTTGCCAAGCGCGCGTAGCACGGCTTCACCCACACCCACTTGCCATTATTTTTCACTCTCTTTTTGCAGTGCCGCACTGAATCGTGCAACACTCCCTCAACTCGCATGGCGTAGCTCTTAGCGCGGTCCGTATGCAAAATAATGCGCCTACCTTTCAAGTAGCGGTTTGCCAGAGGCGCCCAATCGACCTTCCTGATTGCGCCTGGCCCAGGAGCCCTCTTCACCGTGGGAGCCGCGGTAGTCTTCGCCAGCACCAGCGACTCGGGCAGCCGACCAGCGCAGTCTTCGCCGGATGTCTGTCTTTTCCGAAGCACGAAGAAGACTTAAAGTACCGCGCATCAGGTTTGCAACAAACCTGTGGCGCAATTCTTTTCCATTTCAGAATGCGTCTCGCCGTCCTGGCCAGCAGCCACGCGTTTGCTCTGTCGGGCGCTGAGCTTGCGCCACGCCGTGTCAGGCGGCAAGGCAGCGCCAGGGCCGACGTCAGTGACGAACGCCCACTCGAGCGCCATTGTGGTTCGCAAGAGCAGGGATATGAAGGGGCGCAAATTGCCACAATGAAAACCCGATCAAACGGGGTGCTTGAGCCGATAAACGACGTGCGAAACAGTGGTTGTGAATATCGATGTTATTGACATCCGCTGTGCTTCATCAACCACATGGGACCACTCCCTCCCGCCACCCCGAGAGTGCGAAGCACCACCGAATCCTCCAAACGCGAGCTCCTCAAAAACGGGGGCATCCAATATTGGAGTGCTTTCTTCTTTACCCCATCATGTTGACATCTCTAACCTCATAGCTGCCATATTCGGAAATATGAACGGGGGCCGACCAAAAATATTTCTCCCCGAAAGTGAAAGACGACGCGGGCTCCTCCCAAACGGGGGCATCCAATATTGGATGCCCCTCTTCATTACGAGTGTGTGCAGAATATAGTCATGCTCAGAGATGTTTTTACCCCCGCTGCGTTTTCCAGGTTTGAAGTATACATCGTTGTGCTGAACTTCAGGAGAAGAGCAATCCAAAGTACATGTCATCTCATGATAAAGCGAATCGAAACACATTCGGCCCCAAGTTCATGACATCGCACTTCCGCCTTGCTTGTCGTTTTTTTAGGCTTGCACATGCAAGGCCGGTGGCCGAATTCGCCGTTTGCAGAGGCAGCAGGCTACTGGGCGCCAAAGCACCCGTCCTGGTCGCTCGCCCTGGGGCCTCTCGGCCGCCTCACGAGCTCGTAGTAGTTCGCCTGCTGCGCCTTGGAAGCGTTCTGGAGGAAGCGGTTCTTCTCCGTGGAGAGGCCGCGGCACTTCGCCTGATGGAGTTTGGGGAGAGAGGTTTGGTCGCCCCTTGGCGCTCGCCTAGGCGGGCGCCAAGTTTGGTTTGTTTGCTCCGGGGGAGGGGGGTAGGTTTTTTCGCCCTCGAAAGGCCTGCGCCTTCTTGAGGCTAGCCCGCAAGCTCTCGTTCTCCGGCTCCGCCTCGTCCCAAGCGGCCGCCTCGCCCTCCCGTCGGGCTGTGCGTGCTTTCTGCTTCCAGTCGTCTCACTCCTCCTGAGTCTCCCGCAGCTGCTTGCGCAAGCCCTCGTTCTTGTCCTTCGCGGTGCCCAGGTTCTTGCGGGCGTTCTCGGCCGCGCGCTGTGGGGAAACAGAAAGTTTCTGTGTTGGTCGTTGAACTGTGGTTGTTGTTTCTTTCGCTGGTGTTGTTATGTTGCGTAGCTGCGTGGGGGGGGTGCGGTGCTGCCACGTTGGTGGTTGCTGAAGCTTTTCGTTTCCATGGTATCGAATGCTGCTTGCTTGCGCTATGTGCTCCGGTGCTTTGTGTGTTGCTTGTACGGAGAGGTGCATGCTTAGTGTCCCAACAACCGTGTGGACGAACACATCACGGCGCAAGTGGAAGTTCTGCTTCTTTTTCTCCTTCACTTCCTTGTGGAGCTCCGTCTGCCTCTTCCTCAAGGCTCCCACGGTGTCGTGGTATTTTTTCAAGTGCACTTTGGCCGCCTTCTGGAGGTACTGCTTGACCCACGGTTTCTTGAGCCAGTTTTGGATAGAGGCTGCCCGTTTGCGATCCCTGCAGTTGTCAGTCTTGGTCTTCACGGCTTTCTTCGTGGACGCAGGCATTCGCGCAGCGCGAGGCCGACAAGGTGAAGCAAACAAAGTAAGAAGGTCGCAGACCCGAAGCCGGTACGGCTAAGAATGATGAGGGGGAGAGGGAGGGATAATGAAAAAACAACGTCAGGAACACAAGAATATGAACAGAGAGATTGCGATCATATTCTCTCTAACTACGCCTCCTCCTCCGCCTACTCATCATCATCATCAATACCATCATCATGATCATCATTATCATCATCAGCCTCATCATCGTCATCGTCATCATCATCATCGTCGTCGTCATCGTTCTTATCATCATCATCTTCATCACCATAGTCATCGTCACCGTCACCATCATCATCATCACCATCATCGTCAACGCCATCATCATCGTCATCGTCATCATCATCATCATCATCGTCGTCGTCATCGTTCTTATCATCATCATCTTCATCACCATAGTCATCGTCACCGTCACCATCATCATCATCATCACCATCATCGTCAACACCATCATCATCGTCGTCGTCAGCGTCATCGTCATCATCATCATCATCGTCATCGTTCCTCCGCGTCGTCGTCATCCCGCTCTTCCTTCCGATCCCTTGCTGTGTACACTCGTTCTCCTTGAATTCCACACGGCTCCAGAGCATACCAGATCAATAGTTCGACATCGAGCCTTCAATATCCAACGATCAACACCACCTCCAGACCGGCCATCAGTCCCAGGCAGACTGCTGACGGCTCCGCCCCCCCCCCCGCGCCGCCCTCCTCCTCCTCATCGTCATCATCGTCGTCCTCCTCCTCCTCCTCATCGTCATCATCGTCGTCGTCCTCCTCCTCCTCCTCATCGTCATCATCGTCGTCCTCCTCCTCCTCCTCCTCATCGCGCCTGGAGCGGGAGGGCGGGAGAGCGGGAGAGCGGGAGAGCGGGAGAACGGGAGGGCGGGAGAGCGGGAGAGCGGGAGAGCGGGAGAGCGGGAGGGCGGGAGAGCGGGAGAGCGGGAGAGCGGGAGAGCGGGAGAGCGGGAGAGCAGGAGAGCGGGAGAGCGGGAGAGCGGGAGAGCGGGAGAGCGGGAGAGCGGGAGAGCGGGAGGGCGGGAGGGCGGGAGGGCGGGAGAGCGGGAGAGCGGGGGAGCGGGTGAGAGCGGAGAGCGGGAGGCGGGAGGGCGGGGGTGCGGGAGAGCGGAAGAGCGGGAGAGCGGGAGAGCGCGGAGAGAGGCGGGAGAACAGCGGGAGAGCGGGAGAGCAGGGGTGCCGGGGGGGCGGCCGGAGCGGCCGGGGCGGCCGCTCTCCCGCTCTCCCCTCATCCCGCTCTCCCGCTCTCGCCGCCCTCCCGCCCTCCCGCCCTGCCCGCCCTCCTCCCGCCCCCCGCTCTCCCGCCTCCCGCTCTCCCCTCTCCCGCTCTCCGCTCTCCCGCTCTCCCGCTCTCGTCCGCTCTCCCGCTCTCCCGCTCTCCCGCTCTCCCGCTCTCCCGCTCTCCCGCTCTCCCGCTCTCCCGCTCTCCCGCTCTCCCGCTCTCCCGCTCTCCCGCTCTCCCGCTCTCCCGCTCTCCCGCTCTCCCGCTCTCCCGCTCTCCCGCTCTCCCGCTCTCCCGCTCTCCCGCTCCAACTCTCCCGCTCTCCCGCTCTCCCGCTCTCCCGCTCTCCCGCTCTCCCGCTCTCCCGCTCTCCCGCTCTCCCGCTCTCCCGCTCTCCCGCCTTCCCACTCCTCCCGAATTTCCACTTCTCCCGCCATCTCGCTCTCCCATCAGCGGCTGGAGAGCACGTTATCGAAAAAAGGTGGTTGAGGTAGATCTCAGAGGGGGGGGCTCCCATATATATAGGGGATTGAATACATGATGAATTTATGGACAAATGAATGCATGACCTCATCCTTGCATTTGTTAATCAGCCCTTTACTTTCGATCCATGGTCCGCACGCCGAGCATGTATTACAACCGGCGCTGCACTCCGAGGAGCCACCCCGAGAAGGAGCCACCCTCCTCCCAGCTCGCCGCCTCGAGGCCCGACCAGCCGGGGGCGAACCAGCGCCCTCGCGACGCCGCAGGCAGGGGGGGCACACGGTGAGGAACGGCGGGGCCTTTTGTGGCCACGGCGGGCCTGGGTCGGAAACAGGCCCCACGACGCAAAACGAAGAGAAGGTCAAAAATTCGAGCCCCGCCTGGGCCCAAAAGGGTCCTCATTAGGGGGCCCCATGCGAACCCTACCCCTACCCTCCACGATTTCTGAGGGGGAGGGTGGGGTTCACTTCGTTCGGGAGCTCTCGAGCGAAGTGAAGCCCACCCTCCCCCTCAGAGATCGTGGGGGGTAGGGGTAGGGTTCGCACGTGGCCCCCTACCCATGTCAGCGCCTCGCCTAACAGCGCCCTGCGCCAAACAGCCGTGGCCCCCGGGGCCCGGCCGAGCCAGCCGGGCACTCCCCGAGGCGCGCGCCTGCCCCTGTGGGCCTCGGGGGCCCGAAGGCCAGCGGGCCTTGCCCAGGAGAAGCGGCGGGCCTGGCCCCGCTCAGCCCGGGAAGGGGGGAGCTCTTACCAAGAAACCTCCCAACACCAGACCCCCCTCGAGCCATGGAAAGAAAAACAAAAAACACAAAAGAAAAAACAAACCAAAACGAAGACGAACAAACAAACAAACAAACAAACAAACAAACAAACAAACAAACAAAGAAACAAACAAACAAACAAAACAAACAGACAAACAAAGAAACAAACAAAGAAACAAGCAAAACGACGGAAGGCGTTTCGCTGTTTTCGGGTCCCTGGGGCACTCTCCAAGCCAAGATGAGAACCCGGCCCCGGGGAACGGGTCGAGACCCCCGGGGACGCAGGCGCCACGCAGCCCACCGACGACAGCACGATGGCCAGCACGCAGATGCGGCCGTGCCAGAGCTCGGCCGCACGGCGGCGCTTGCACGGCTCCGCCCCCCGGCATCCGCCGCGAGGCCTGCCGGGTCCCATCAGGGCTCGAGTTACACCGTGGTTTCCGTTGTCGTTTTCGTTCTCGCCATCCCTGTTTCTGTCTTCGCTCCACACTTGCTGCACAACGAAGTCAAAACGAAAAAACGGCCCACGAAAGTGCCAAAACACCGCTTGCGCTTGGCTCGAGCCCTGGGCCCCATTATCCCGTCGGCTGCTGCACGCCGAGCTCGTTCCTCCACGCGCGGTCGCACTCGTGGCCGACGTCGCCGAGGCGTGCCGCCCCGATCCCCGCAGGCGAGGGGCACCTGAGCCGCCGACCACGGCGGCGTCAGAGGCGAGGAAGTGTTGCTCACGGTGGCAATCCATACCGTCGGGGCGTTGACCTAAGGAACCCCAAATAAGGAACGAGGCCCCTTTTGTCCATAAGTTAAACTTCGATTTCCTGTCGAAAGCATAAGGAAAACCTGAGGCAAGCTGCGAAACAATCAAGGAACGCGGAGCCCCTCCCCAACGAAACGGGTTCCTTCTGCAGGGCCCCGGCTGTAACTCCTCACGCACAGCAAACACGACATCGTCAGCGTCACCATCGCAAGGGTTGCCAGAAGAGCGGGACGGCACACCCTGCCAGACCGGAGACAGAAGGCTCTGAAAGATGCCGATGGGGCTGATCCCACGTCGGGCAGACAGACCGTTAGCCTCGCTTACCCACGAAACGAAAGCCAAGCGAAAAAAAACTCGACAAAAGGCTGGCTGAAGGAGCAAGGCCACGCACTCACTTCCTGCGTCCACGACGGAGGACAGGCATGAGGAGCGCGGGCCCGCGCTCACTCTAGGCCGTCGCGATTCCACGAGAGCTCTGAGTGGGGCCAGAAAGAGGGCCTCCCCTCTCATACAACTGGTGGCCGCTGCTGCGCAATCCCTCAGACCACAAGGGTCCAACAAGGCGTTCAAACAACAGCGGCTTCACGCATCTTCAGTAGGAGTTTTGCCACAGTATGGAGCATATGACTCAACTTCGTGTGTGCAGCTCTGGCCACCCATAACTTGTAGAATCAGATGGCCGTCGATGGAGCCTCTGGTATGCCCATCCGCTGTCATACCTCGGGTGTCACACCGCTGCACACTGTCGAAAATGCCGAGCTCCAGAAACTCGCTAAGCCAACTGATGTGGCACAGCCGCGCCTTCTAGGCTGGGCGCCACTCCACCGCGGCCCCCGCGGCCCGAAGCAACTCCTTCTGGGCCTCCTCCGCGCCGCGCCAGGCGTCGACCACTGCGGCCAGCGCGCCCGAGAGGCCGTCGTAAGCCCAACGGCTGAAGAGGCACTGTTCTCCCAGGAACGAGCTCGTCTGCCAGGGTTGCCGAACGGCCCAAGTCGTCTAGACGGGCCTGCTCCATAGACACCTCATCTGGCTCCAGCCCCACCATTCGGGCACGAGCCTCGGTCCAGCCCCGTTCCCCGAGAAGCCGATCTGGCGCTCCGGGCGTGGCCTTCTGCCGGCCGCGCCTTCCCATGGCTCCGCTTCCGCGCGGCGCTGGCGCGCTGCCACCCCAAGGAGGGCGCGGCAGGTTTCGGCCACGTGGGCACGGAGCGATGGAGACTCGGTCTGCCAGTCGGCACCGCAAGCCTGGCCGCGGTGCCCTCGGTAGCCCGATGCAACCAGGCACGAGCATCCTCCACGTCGGCGAACTTGCAGGCGATTCCCTCTGCAGAGCGATGCGCCCCGAGTGGGCGACGGCCTGCGCCTCCCCAGCCTTGGGTGCCTCGACCGACCAGCGCTGCAAGTCCAAGCCCTTATTGGCCAGCGCGGTCGCCCCGAAGCGGCTACGGCGCTCTGGCGCCAGTATGCAGACGGCCAGCCAACAAGTGGCCAGCAAAGCGAAGCCAAGAATAGCCCGCTGCATCCAGCCCCGCAGGCGTGGCCGAACAGGGGGGCAGCGGAACCTTCGGAGCGGGCCAGGGCAAGGCCTCGCTCAACGTAGGGCTGACGTCGCGGGGCCCGATCGGTTCCAGTGTCGACGCACCCGACGTCGATGGCATCCGAAGCGCCTTCAAGGAGCTCTTCGGCAAGTGCGCGGTGGGCAGCGGAAGCCGGACTGGCGTCGGTGT